AGATAATGTCAAGCGATACCCTTGAGTGCTCATCCATTTAGCGGTCTGATTTCGACTGTCGGACGGCCGAGATTTACTACGGTTTAATCCACTTGTCGGCGAATTAAATCTATCGATGCCAGATAAGATTGTGCACCTCGTAGATCTTTTCATTTCTGTTGCCGCCGGAGAAAAAGAAGCACGAAGATCTATGAAGGAAAATATGCGAGTCTCTTGCTTTTAGAAAGTTCTGTCCGATGTTGTAACATTATGAATTTCAATGAGATACGCACCTCATCGGAGCGAAGTAAAAAAAGGAATCTTTATCGGTTTAGAAAAAAAAAATGCAGGGTTATAAAAATGAATATATTTTACACCGAGAGACGAATTATATGTATTTCCGCAAATTCCACTGAAAAAGAAAGTCAAGCCGCCGGATCCTTCAAAAAAACGGGTCAACAACGACAGGATCTTTTCGCGAGTAGCGAATACAAATGGAGAAGTAGGATTGAGGGGGCGGAGGCCACCGGCGGGGCGACCTATTTCAATCAATAATCTCTTCTTCCAACACGAAGTGGGTTTTATACAACCGCCACACTGAGCGGCGAAAGTCAACTTCGTAATCCCTGAAAGAAGAGGCCGCCGCCACCGCCACCACCGCCGTTGCCGAGCCGGTTCCGGATCGCCTCGGTAAATCTTCTTTCCTCTGGGTGCATTCGAACGGAAATCCGCCCCGGCTCGAAAAGTGAGAAAGGTCTACTCGATAAAGCTCGTCGGGGACCGCAAGCCCGAGAGAGAAAGCTCCAGGGCTCGCTCCCTCGGCAGCATCGTCGTGTCACTCGACAAATCGGACGACCCAGGGTGGCGGCTTAATTCGAGCACTCGCACTCGACTCGGTTACCGGATACAAGGACCGCTGTGTGTATACAAGACCGGCCATCGACTCTCGTGAACGACCTTCGTTACAGCAAGTGCTTCGTTATCTTCGATTTTCCGCAACCTACTTTCGTGACGCTAGCTCGACGTGCAGTTAAAACTTACGTCCGAGAAAATTCTCTGATAATTATAGAGTAGAAATTAGATTCTCCCTCGTAAATTTCAGCTCAGTCTAAAAATATTACGTTTTACACAATAGTAATCAGGAAATAATATTCAATAAAATTTATTTCATGTTTGAATAAAGAATTTATTTTTTTTTGTTTTATCTCTTTTCACTCGCTTGAATGATACGCGGTTCAAATATTGAAATAAACTATTCACGCAGAATTTTCAAACATTAATGATGTAATTTTTTAATGCTGCTACATTAGATAGTATATGTTTTATACCTTTCAACAGTGAAATCATTTTTTAGTAATACTTTTAAATAATTTAGAGACAATATTTATATTAAAAAATATGGAATATTCGAGCGCTTAACTTTTGACGTTTTATATTTTTAAAATATTCAGAAGTTTTAAGCGACTAATAAAGGTTATATCGAACGACGCCCTTTTCATATCGATCGTATCAGTGCGAATCTTATCTATCGATCAAATTTATTTGTATCATCTAGTAATAATTCGCGAGCAGTCACGGTCGTTTCACCGATAGCTTATCATATTCTAGAGAAAAAAAACCATTGCCTACCGTTTCTCCAAGCTTTTTGATCCTGAAACATTTTTTTATTGAAAGAAAGGTTTAGACATTTTACAAGTTTCTCTTATGGGTGTAGAGATACTTTTTGGGATTATATTGAATGGTTCAATCTTACGATTGATAAAACAACTGCAAGAGTTAATTCCGAGTAATTGAATATCATTGAATACAAAATAATTAATATTAAACGAGTTTATATTAGAATTATACATTCAGCTTACTTGTGCGTCTTTAAATAACGATATGTTCAGGCGACATTGGAACCCTGAAGAGATGAAAAGGGTTGAAATTTTCTGATCCTTTCATCCGTAACCCCGAAGCGTCGCGACGTGCTGCACAATGCGCGCCGTAATTACGTTACGTTAATTAATCCGTCGGTTTCTTTGCTCCCTTTTGGCCTGACCCCTTGCGTTCCCCTTTCTCGCGAGGCGAGCTCTTTTAATGCCACAGAAAGTCCCGATGAAACGGAAATGAGTTACCTTACTTCCGTTTGCGGAAGATTTCACGGTGAATGCGAATCCCCGCGGCGCTTCGTACCTTCGCCCAGACATTCGGCGCGATTCAGCACTCCTGTTCAATCTCCTGAAGAAAGAGGATGGTGGTTAGATAGCGTCGAGAGAAAAGAATCCACTATTTTCCCTGCCGTCGAATCTTCCGACGATTCGTGTTACTTGCGTACGATTCCATCTAACGACGCGCAAAGCCGGGCTTATCCGTCACGGGTCCTCTTCTATGTATATTCGGCAGGTTACTCAAATAAAATTATTATGCAAACTTTCACTTTATTTAAGCGTCTCTCTTTCATCTTGCTCGTGCATCAAATGAATTCATTCATTAACCAAGGATCTGTTGACCGAAACGCGACGCGACAGTTTACGTAAACATCCGTATTAAACGACACTAGTTAAAGTTAATCAAGATTTAACTAATATTTCTGGAAATTTTAACAGAGTCCCTGTTTTGATTTCTGTCGCTTCTACGTCGATAATTCGTGGTGAAATAAGTACGAGATTTATCTCTCAGTACGAGATTTATCATTTTTATTTAACTGTGAAAGCTAATGTATTTTTGTCTTTGTCAAAAATTATAGTTTTCTAAGTCTAATCTGAATTTTCGTAACGCTATACGTTACATAAATCTCATGTGCAAAAGGCTTATCAATATACATACGTTGGTCATTTTTATTTATTTTGTTCATTTCGAAAGAGAATTTTTTTTTATTTTGCGTCTAGAAAGCACACTTTCTGCCCATATGTAACCGTATATCCACTTATATGGTAGCATCAAGTGCTTCTAACGGCAACAGCAGAGAATTTTAATTTTGCAAGCACTCAGTATAACGTCGGACGAATTGCCGGTGTTACTGAAAATAACAGGGATTATCCGCGACGTACACCAGCCGTCATCTCCCATGACGATAACGATAATGCCCGGTCCCAACGCGCACTGCAAAGTATAATCTAATTATCTGCCCCGGCCCCGACGCGCTTTGCGCTACGTCGCGTAATGCGCAATTGCATTCAACGTATGGTGCGCGTCGGCTGCATCTTCATTACGGCCGCGCATGCATTTATAGCCGGCACGATTCGTTTTCCCGTATCGTCGATTGTGCCATTTAAGTGTGTTTTATATCAACGCGATGATAATGCTACGGTTTAGTACCGATCATTCATTTCTACATCTCTCACAGCCACTTACGGGCACTCGCGCGAAATTGATAAAAATATACTAAAACTTTTTTATAATTGGTTTTAATATCGTGGTACTTTATGCTGAGCGAGTTATACATTTTTTAGTTTAGTTCTCATTTACGAGTTTATTGCACACATTATTCGCTAATTTTGCATCCAAGTGTGAAGGCAACATTAGCGAGTAATTTTTTAAATAACATTTACTTTATTATAATAAAATTTTCTCGTTCTGGTGCTTTTTTGCGATCTACAGTAACCGTGTCTCTTGTTATATTCGTGTATCGCTATAATTATTGCATATTAAAACGTATAATTATTTTAATAGTTAATAGCCCTACATTAACAGCCTCAATATAGAATTATATTTTAATCAGCTCGGGTAATTCAATTCGCCGATATATCTTACATGTCTGATGCACGCGAGCGAAAGTGTTCTAACGCGTTTCGCGAAGGATTATAACGTGTCTCTCTATATATTGCGCAATATTTAATTCATCGCTCTAAATCACAACCGCTGCTAGGCAATTTGCGGAAATGGGACAGCTGTCGTGTGCAGCGACATAATTATTCCGACGTTGATGAAGTTTTCATTAATGGATTGTTGGTATTCATGGAAAAGTGTTCGATCTCACGAATATAAAACGAACATGCATAAGTCGATATCGTCACAATATGCCAGCAATAGATATTGCATTTAAAATTCTTCTAAATTGACTATATAATCGCGTTATAATTTACAAAATCATAATAATATCAATAATCTAAAATTTATAAATACCGTATTATATAGTTGAGAGAGAAAGTAAATGTTAGAATTTGAAATAAAAATGGAATGGCCATTTCCAAAACCTGACATCATTGATATCTGTAGTAAAATATGTATATAATAGTAAAAGAAAATTCAACACATATATAATTAATTTTATAATTTTATAATTGCGTTACAAATAAATGCTGGTATATACATTTGCTTCCTTGCACATGTGGCGCTATCAAACGTATGATTATACAGAGGCGTATCAGTGTTTGTACTGATAGCTGATAACATAGATCACGCTTTGGCTTTCAAAAAATAGGAAGAAGAAATTTAATCTTTTGTATATTAATATATTTTTTTTATTGTCTATAATGTTTTAGAACACCTTCTCTCATTGGAATTAATTTTTTAATGTCTCCCGTATATTTATATCGTAAATTGCACAAAAGGCTTCTTTATCGACACACTCGGAATTCAGTATATACCTCTAAAATGTAATAACTCGCGGAAGTTGAAAGGTTTATAGTCGGTTCTGTAATTTATTTAAGTGCCACGTCAAATTGCGACATGTTAAATGCCGATTCGCTTATTGTAGAGTATTATGTTTGGCGATATGACCGATTATAAAGCCACACGCGTGTTTGCGCGAAATATGATAATTAAATCAACAGCCAGTCCGAGCAGGTTTATTGTCGCTAGTAATTGACAAATTGCAATAGCAATGAGTGATTTCATCGGTAATTTCGATACGTTTGTTACGGAATGCTGTTTGTTACGTAATAGAAATATATATTATTTACATAAAGATTATTATATTGTTACTTTATCGTAAAATAATTAGGATATCAGTGAACTCTCTCTTTCACTCTTGCTCTCTTGCTCTCTTTTTTTATTTCTCGAAAATAGAGATAAAGAAAACACTGTACATATTTTTATGATAATCTTTTTAATTTTATTAATCACTAATAATACAACGTGGCAGTTTATTTCTTTTTTAATTCTATGTATCAATCAATACGTGCGAGTACAGTATTTACAACATCGTACGGAATAGCGTGTGAGCTACGCTGATCAAAGATATTATACAAATTAACCGCTAATAATAATTTATAAACTACCGACTGCTTCAAAAAAAGTACAAGTCCGAAATATAAGTCGATTAAAATGCGCAGTATAATGCAGTGTATGATGTAAGCGTAACAAATTTACATATTTCTTAATTGGTTGAACTTATAAAATTCATAAAATACGCGCGATTAAAATTTGTAAAAATTCCAAATATCCCAAATTTAGATTAAAAACAGACGTAACTTTTTTTGAAGCAGTCTCTATTAAGCGACAAGGTACATAAAATCACGTTTTTAGGTCGACGTTAATACGTTAATGCTTACAAGTTTACGGGAATATACCGTACGCCTTAGCCTCCTATGCTGTAAAAATATCTGTACATTATATAACATTATGTTAACCCTAGGCTCTATACAATCTAACGTAAAAACGTCGGCTGCGAACCTTTTACTTTTCTCACGTAAAGCGAACATAAATAACTAATAGAATGTTTCGTAATGCCTCGATTTGTGTTGAAGACCAACAGATTTCCCGACTCGATCATAAAAGATACCATAGAATGTCACCGTTAATTCTTCGAGTCAAATAATGATTCCGATTGCACGGTTAACGGCCACTCGTTATAGTCGTTATAACCGCGGTGCAGTTTTACGACGTGATATAAATTCGACGGGACAAATTTATGCGAATGTCGAGGACCAAGCTACACTGTGTATGGAATTCTACTTAACATTGCACTTCGTGTCTCGATTATTTGTAACTGTACAGAATCAGGTGATTTAGTCTTGTAAATCGAGCTCCACTCGATGCAGTAAATCTGGTTCTGAAAGAAGATTTAATAATTTAGGAATTATACGCACTGGTATAGTATGCGTAGTAGATCGTCGTTTCTTTCTGTGATAGCTACCCTTTCGGTTTTCCTCAATGTAGAGACTTGTCCTTTGAGAACGCCTATTTTCGTTGGAATATCTGATTCTGGGCTCAATTCTCTGGGCCGGAACGTAGGTCGGTGTGGTGAAATCGTCGGGGCCTTCAATAACCGGAGTGTTCGATCTTTTTCTGCAGATCGCCACGCCGATGATCACTCCGATACCGACGAGGACTAACGCTGCCGCACCTTTGAAATTCAGAGTTGCGTTATGCACATAGAATAAATATTGGGTTTATTAATATATATTAACAAATTAAATAGTTAAAGCTAATAAATCAAAATATTACAGTGCGTAATGGAAATCTGAAATCTAAAAATTCACAAATATGGTATATTCTTTTACTTTCAAAAGTCTTTCCGATCTAGAAAAAAATAATATACGTCTCTTGATTATAATATTAAAGTAAAAATATGTAAATATAATTTACAAATATTTCCAACAGGTGAAGAAACAATTTTTCGTTTCGATTTAGATTTATTTGCAGCGAACTAGACCGTAGCTTGCCAAGGCTTGATTAGGCGAAATTAGAAGCATTGGGCGAAACTAAAAAGCCAGCAGCGTCGATTTTACCTGTACCTGTCAGTGCAATGGCAATGATCATGTTCTCGGAGCTGGCTTGCGGTAGCGCCTTTTTCAGATCTTCCAAAAAGATTCCGCTTCTCTCCAGCTTTCCGCCGATAGGTTCGACGACTCTGACGTGTTCCAGAAGAGCGGGTTCGCTCTTGCCACGTCCGTTGACCGCGTAAACATATACCGTATAGTCGTACCCTGGTTCAAGATCGTGAAGCTGGAAGTTCGGTGTCGGATTCGTGTCCTTGTATATGGGAGGAGATGGGTCCCCGACCATTCCCTGATCGCTCTGAGGCGTTTGAAGGGTATGAGGACCGATATGACCGATCCCGGAATTCCTGAGGGATCCTCGTACTTCCAGCAAAAAATGCTGCGGCGATCCGCCGTCCGACCCCGGGATGCAATTAACCTCCAGCGAGCTGGTCTCGTTGTACAATGCACAGTCCAGTGGTGGTTGCGGTGCTTCTGGGCGATAAAAAGAAATTAGCATTTGAGTCCTAATGAAGATATAACTCTCTTAAAGCAGATCTTGAAAATTTATGCTGATAAGAAATTTATATCTTAATTATTAAAAAAAAATTATTTCATTCGGAGACTTATAGTTTCTTTCGTTACAAACGTTAATAAAGACGCAAGAGACGATAACGTAATTAATGGCCAATAACTCACTAGCAGGCACGATGTTAAATATACAGGGTGTCCTTTGCCGTCCGATGCTGTTGCTCGCCCAGCAAGCCAACGTGCCGTAATCGGTCTCGGCACTAGGGGTGTATTCTAGCACGCTCACGAGTTCTTTATTTTCGATTCTCGAGTTCGATATAGGTAGAACATCGCCGACAGTGCCGTTGTAGGTCCATGAAAATCGTACATAGTCATCAGGCGACGCTTCCACCTCGCACTTGAGCTGTACCGTCGTATGTCGAGCGACGGTGATCTCTCTTCTTTCGTTATCTTCTCTGCATCTCGGTGCGTCTATCGAATGTTTACAATTGTTAGGAAAAATGTAAGAAAGTCTTTTTTATATAAAATTTATAAAAATGATAAATATTAAATATTACATGATTATATTAATTATTTTTGGTTTCTGAGATTATTTGAACATACTTTCGCGATATTCTAATCAAAATAATCAATACATTTTCTATCAAACTTCTGATGTTTAAATCAAATTAGAAAATCTCGACACTACTTGTACGGTTTATTCTAGAAAGTTACTCTTACACGGTGTGTTAATAAATGTGACTACTCACATTTCATGTGAATAAAAAGCGGCGGGCTATAGGTTTCTCCCACGGCGTTCGCGGCCACGCAGGAGTACTCGCCGATGTGTGCGAGTGCGAGCACACGGAGTGTCAACGAATTAGAAGCCAGTAGAATTCCGGCGCTCACGTCGTGTTCCAACCGCTGATTCTACGGGCAAGAACGCGAGGATTTGAATAGCAGTCAATCATGTTGGATAACGAGTCTCTTTTTTCCTCCCTCTCTTTTTACTCACATCGTGGTACCAAGTCACTCGCGTCGGTGGCGGGTTGCTTTGTACGTCGCAGACCAACTTGAGATCGTCGCCCTCCCTCAAAGTGTCCAAGACGTAGCCATTAGCCAAACGAGCGACAACTACCGGAGCATCTGTTTGTAATTGGAGAGATTGCGTCATTATTTATTATAGTAATTGATTTCGCAATAAATGTTGCAGTCTCAGTTAGTGGAGGAGTTAAATGTAAAAGACAAGAATCTTGAAAAATATTTTTTTATGAATTTGCTGTTTGTGTTAAAATTCTGTAAATGACATATATCAAAAATATTCTTAGATACATTTATACATTTAATATAGCACATGTTGTTTACTGGGAAGCTAAATTTGAAAGCTACAAACATTGCAAAGTCGAAAACTCACAGGAGATGCGAAGCGTTTTAACTTCCTCGAGCACTCCTCCGGGAAATCTCGGATTTTCGGCACGGCAGACCAATTCCTTGCCATCGTCATCTCTGTTGAGGACCAAGACCAGTTTGCTCATCGTCGAGTTACTCCTCTGCGTGGTGGACACGTTGGGATCGCCCATTACATGTTCACCGAGCCTCCAAATGATTCTAGCCGCTGGAGAACTACCCCACGTCTCGCATTTGGCGGTGATTGGACGACCCGCGAAGATCTGTTCCTCGCTCAGACCGATCTTCACGATTGCTGGTTTAACTAAAATACGATAAGAGTTAATAGTAAAAGATTAAATACGGACGAAGATATTAAGTTGTTCGAAAATCTCATTTCTACAATAATCCGCGGTTCTCTGTTATTTCTTCTTGATTGAGATACGAAGGCAAACAACATGTGAAGATCCAACAAGTAACATACTTCGCTGTCAAAAATTTACATCTGCGGATGTAGGCACGACGGATGGTTCCTGCGGGATGCAAAAAACTACCGAGTGAGCCGAGAGCCTCGTCGTCGGCGTTGCGCCACGAAAATAACGGTACGAGGGAGGGTCACAGATGCCCGCCGCCCCGAACCGCGTATTTTTACTTTTGGACGACAATTCCGCGAAATACGACCGTCAAAGGAGTTAAGGAGGTCCGCGCGAAATGGTTGGAATTCATCTCGCTTCCGCCGCGGGTCAGTTGCTCGCAACTATATTTAAATTTCTTTCTTCGGCATGAAATATTGCGGGGTGCAAAAGAATTTTGAATCAGGTTGAATTAATAAAAAAATCTAAAAAAAACTAAGTTGAGATACAAAATGGAAAATCAAATTCGTTTAATTGAAAAATAAGATGGGTGGTTTTTTTGTATTTAAGTTTTAGGATTGAAAACAGCATGATTGAAAGAAATAATTCATACATCTTTTTAGATTATAGATAAATAATTTGCTCTCTTCCCGTAATGTCTTGAAATATAAGTTTGGTGTTTAGATTTCGAATGCCATCCTTTCCCGAGGATTGCAACAAGTGTTTTTCCCCGTGTCTCTTGTAGATGTAAAGGGTGACGATTTTTCTGTTCAGCTTGACCTAAAAATAAATACGAGAGGAAGGCGTAGCAACGGATGCGCAACGTGTCGATCGAATAAAACGTGCCAAGAGTGCCCTTTAACACGCGCCGGTTGAGATCGCCTTTTAGCACGTGCTTAGGACCGAGAGAACGGCCTTGAAGAGTGTGCTTCGCGTTTCTTCTATTTTATTTTAAGCAGATGTCACGTTAACGCGGCATTTATGATCCATTTCCTAGTAATGCCGCTCTTTGCATTTCATCGCTCGAAAAAGTTAAAAAAGCGCCGGAAGATCCCCGAGCCGGAGTCCTCGAGGGCGTAATCGCCAAGAGATTTACGAGCTCGTGTAATCAGAGTCGAAGCTAGAAAACGACTTAAAAATATATAATTCGCGAATTACCTCTTCTTGTCCTTAAAAATTTTTCTGAGATTAATTTCAATTTCTAAAAATTATCTAAATGTAATTGCTTTGCATAAAATGCGATATTTACGGTATATGTCGAGGGGCACCTCACGGACGACAGGTTTCTCCATCGGTCCGGATTGAGCCCTGCATTCGAGCTTCGCTCCCCACAGTGACTTGGTAACTTTGTCGATAAACAAGTGGTTCTCCGTAAATCTGCTCGACGAGCCGATAGACAACGTATCGACTACTCCATCCAGGAGCTCGCCGTCCTTCCACCACGTTACTGAAGGCTTAGGTCTACCTGTGAATCAATTATGCACGTGGTTTTCCTATCAATCGACTCTCAACACAATTTGTACGAATACTGCTTGCAAGATTTAATGATATAGAACGATGACGCGATAATATTCACCAAATAATGATGAATATTGATGTAAGTAATTATTCATTGATGATAAAACTTAAAAAGATCGCGTATTCGTACCTCCAGACACTTGACATATCAAAGCAAGATTGTAACCCTCGAGGAAGGGACCGCCCACCCCCGTTACCTCTCGTCCTTGGGCATCGTATATCACAGGCCTACTTGGTTGTTCTGAAAGAGTCAAGCATGATAGTGTAACGAATGTTTTGTCACTCTCTTGTCATGGTCTTTGAAACGCGATATTTACCAACTAAAGTCAAGTTTACGTGAAAGTTTCGCGTCGGCGAGTCCATGAAGTCCACTCTGCACCTGAAGACCCCTTGGTCTTTCAGCGTCACCTTGGTGACTTTTAATTTCGCCCGGTGACCGTCGCCGACCTGGAAGTACGTTCGTCTCCCGAGGTCGTCGCTGACCGCCCAGTGGACGGCACCAATCAAGCTACCATTTCTCGCGTCCAGACTGTAGAAAGGAACAAATGTGTCAAATGACATTGTATAACATAATGTTATAAGGATATAATATAATATTATATTATAAAGATATAATATAATATAATATTACGGGAATAATAATTAAGATTATTATTTCGGCTGATTCAAATTATTTTTTAAACACGTATAATTTGTATTTCTCTCAAATCAAATCTAAATCAAGCGAATGAATACGAATGAACAACTCGTTTTAGTGAGCGACTTGACAAATAAAAATTTTTGAGCGTTGTCATATTATTGCCATTTTCAAAACAATCTAACAAAACTTCAAGGAACTATTAAATGTTATTTCCTCTCTTTGAAACGTTCTTTTTAATTCTAGTTAATCAGGAGGAGAATCTACTTTTATTTTTTTTTTTTAAGATAAAAATATTTACTTGAACATCGTTATTCAAGGAATGCCTCTTTCAGCTGAAGCGCCATTGATTCAGTCAAGAGGAATTTTCTAAACCAAGCTTCTCCATCGCGATCTTGAGCATTTCCGGTACGGAAACTCGGTAAACATCGCGCTTTCGCCAATTGGCGGCTCTCAGTGACTAAACTCGCGTGCATCGCGCGTCTATTCGCGGCCGAGAAAAAAGGACAGTTGGCAGACTCGCCACTCGCGGGATTTAGATCCTCTTAGCTTCAGAGAGCTGGGTATTACGCAATGACGGGAACAGGAAATCGTTCCGGCGCGCGGCGGAAAAACGGACAGCTGGCACAGGAAAAAGAGATACCGTTAAACTGTTTACCGCACATCCGCGCAATTCGCCGTTGATATGCAATTGACAATGATCTTTGCCAAATACGCCGTCAAAGTCGACTCTTGGAAGCAACTGAAGATGGAAAGTTCCATCTCGTGTAACTTAGATTATGTGCCGTGGAATTGAGCAGAGCCATCTCCTATCCGTTGAAACGGAGAATATGACAGTTCTTCGAACGCACGAAATGTTCTCCGCTACGGGGAATTCGGAGGCGTAAAATGCAAAAAGCAACCGGTAGAATAACCCTTTCTTAAATCATGTGCGTTCAATGGACCAAGTCGTTATTCAACGTCGTCATAAAACCGTTAAAAAGATTTTAAATATCCATCCGTCGTTTACGACAAATTACTTCGATATTAAACGATATTCTCCTCATTTTATACGTTGAAATAAAAGATTTGAATATTGCGATAAAACATTTCGTCGCCGGATTCGAAGCGCCGCAGCGCAAATTTCTTTCGACTCGGCGCAATTCATTTTTTCTTTTTTTTTTCGCCATTTCGCGACCATTTCAGCGACTATCGGAATCCACAGGCAGAGCCTGTGAGAAACGCTTCACCAGCAGAAGGCACAAATAACTAGAGACTGCTTTATCCCATCCTCGCAACTCATTCGCGCTTCCCTTTGACGCTCTACGATCCCTTTTGCTTGTTGTAGTTCTTCTATGAAGGTCCTTTGATATTACCCAGAACTCTATGCTCCCTTGTGAGCCTTATAACCATCAACGTTTCTGATAACCACTCGCTGACAGTTTCCTGCATCTTCCACATTGCACGGTGCGCTTTCGCATTGCATTTTTAGCTACCCGTATTTTCTCTTGCCGTCCCGAGAATTTCTATGAGATTCACATAAAATCATCTCGGAGCAAGACGATATTTACTTTTAATAAAAATCTGTTAATATAGCTCAAGTTTTCATAATTTGTTTTTCTTTTTATTATTTTTCAAACCTATTTATAACCTTTGATAACAATTTTTTTCTTTAATTTCTGATTTCAAAATTTGATTGAAAAATTTGTCGTGATAATATAAACACAGCTACTAATATAACGTAATAATATATACAATGAGATTAAAGCAACTCGTGTATTTATATAACATTTTTATTTCTTTAGCAAATGAAACGCGAGTGTGAAAATTTGAAAAGCAGATCATAATAAAATAATAAAAATTCGTAATAAAAATTCTTTCAAACACACGACCTTTATACACGGTTCCATTTATTTTTCATAGACAAACGAATGGTAGTTGATGAGGAAACATATCTTGCTTTACGATCCCAGAGACCGTTTTCGTAAATAAGCGACGCTATGTTTAATACTCGTGTCAGCCGAAAAGAGTCCTCGATCGACTGCTATTTCTGAAGCTCGGGGTCTATGTTGTGAAATTCCATCATTTCACACTTCCGATCGTGGAAATTCGGTCGAATTATTTATACAGTCCTGATCTAGCTTAACTTGAATTTCCTCGTGTACGCATCAATGCGCAATGCATCTGTTTCTATAATCGTCCACGCGATGAGAATTTGAATAAAGAGGATGTGTGTGGGAGGATGATAAATAATAATTTTCAAAGCGTTCCATAAAAATCGTGCACAGAAAACTGTGTTTATAAAATAAAATTAATATCAATTTTGAATATATTAAAAATTAATATTGTAATAAAGACAAATATATATGTAAGATAAATATTTGACAGAAATTTTATATTAATATTTTCAAAATTGAGAAGCTTTATTTGACGATTCTAATTATTTTAAACATTTTAGTCTTTTAAGCTCGAAATAATTAAAACCGACGGTTAGTCTTTTTTCATATAAAAGTATCACCTGATTACTGAAGACAATTTTTAGAATTGAAATATAGGTTGCGCTGAGTTACATCGACTGTTAATGAGCCTGTGATATTTATATGTCGCGAGCAGGGCACGTTGGAGGTGTCCATAATGAGAGTTCATGCTCGGGCCTAGGCTTGTGCCGGGATATTTCGAGATGTGGCTTCAGAACAATGGCATCCCATCCCCTAATAACGCGGGCCTAGCCGGTATTCGGCAGAAAGTCAGCCACGTGAATCAGTTTTCGCGTTTCTCAGAAAACAGGAAATCGACAGCAGGAAGAATATATTTTTAAGCTTTAAAACCGCGCGCTCAGTTAAGCAAAAAAATTTCGCTTTTGCTGAAATGTTTTGAGAAATGTATTTTGATCTGCATATAAATTTGCAGAAACTTCCTACAGACCTCTACGTTTCTCTTTTTTCTAATTTTTGACTAGTGACTCGTAGCTTGGTTGAGATTCGTGAAATTAATGGCATCTTTTGCAGAGTTAAATTCAGTTGGGTTGACGTCCTATCTTTGTGGCGTTAGCGCCACGTAAAAATAGTCGGATCGGGGTAGGATTATTTTTAAAGTGCAAGACTCGCCTGTAGAGCGGTATCCCGACGTTGTCCTTGAACCAGAGAACCATGTTAACCGAATCCTGCGGCGTCGGCGGTGTGAGGTCGCATGGCAGCTCTACATCGTCGCCTTCGGTTGCCCAGACTAATCTCACGGGCACTGAAAAGGGAAAAAATTGCATATTTTCTAATAGTTTACGCTCTAGTACGTTTATCATATTTTTCTTCTTAATCTAAAACTTTATCGTAATTTTAGCACTTTATTTTAAGAGATTCAACCAAGGGATTTAGAAAGTAGAATATTGGAATACTCGTTCAAAATTAGATCAATAACCATCGCACATCGTTCTAGTTAAAAGTCGAGATACAAATCTTTCCTGTGATACATGAATCATACATTTTTTGCGATTACATCCACGAGCGGCTGACAGAAGAATACATAAATCAGCGAATTATCATATAAACGTTAGCAACAATCAAAGACTGTAAGAAGATAGTGTTCTAATATTGTTTTAAAATTCTAGTTTATAATTATAGAAGTTTAAAATAATATAGTATGTAATTTTAAAATAAATATAAAATATTTAAATTTTGCATATTTTATAAATATAGACACAATTTTTATAGTCTATATATATGTAATATATTATTTAACGCACACAAATTTTTCCAATTTTTAATTGCACAATGGTAATTCTAAAGTTTTTAAATTGATATGTTTCAGAGCAAACAAATTGACAACTAAATGCGATTAGAAATGCTCTTGTCTGTTGTCTTCGGAAACTTCTTGACATAATTGTTTCTCTCGCAACTCTGCCAGCTCATCACATAATTGTATATAAGCAAGACAGTGAATATCAGTTCGATGCACCATTGTCCATGATTTTACGCGGCTCTCAGCGTGCGATTTAAACTTAGATTCGCCACATCGTTATGAAGTACCAGTGCAGAAAATAGAAACGATATAGCATAAGCCGACCGGCCGGCCGGACGGCCGTCGTCGCACGTGCACGAGGCGCGCTGCTGTTAATGCACATCTCGGTATGCCATTGATAACTCTGCCATTGTGAACGCATACATTTCGAGGCGTCTTCCATCGGGTATTTTATCGAGTTCCCATTTTTTTCTTCTTCGACAGAACTCAATAGACCTACGGAACACTCTAAGATAATACTCCGAATGTATGAACGAAAAGATTTTTCTGCATACGGACTATCGCAGGAGGTTATCGCAGGAGGAGAAACAAAAGTCACATAAATTTTTACGCCGTTACTTATTAAAACCGGACCGAGTTTAGCAAAGCGGATGCATTTCTTCCGTGCGCAACATCGTACACGTGGCCACGCGAGCATAACGACGGTGCCGTTCGCGAGGAACCGCTTCATTAGTACGCCGCTACATGTTTCATCGCCCTCAACGAGCCTTTAAGAACCTGATGAGAGGGTTGCGACTAAGCGCTCTGTCGAGTTTTACATTGGCGGTTAGATATTCTTGCCGTACAATCAACGTCGCTGTTTGCACCTGTTGAAGCATTCAAGGAAGAATCTTGAAGCTTTAGATTGTTACATAATTTCAAATTTTAAATTATTTAAAAAGATTTGATTACAAATATTTTGTAACATTCATTTTTTTTTATGTTCAACCGTCTGCAAGTGAATTGCGAGTGATATATTATATAATAATCGAGAAAATTTTTAATACTTTTTTCCACGGTTTTTATTTATTTTCATTTTAAGGATGTATCACCTCTTTATCTTGAAATTACAAATTAGACGAAAACTCTTTAATAATGAAATAGGATACAGTCCATCGTATTTCATTATTATTTCAGTTTCTCTCTGGAACAAAAACGACCATTTTTTCCCTTTATGGCGCATGAGTATATATTTCTTTCATTTCAATCTCACAAAAAAGTAAAAGCTTGCGGTTAAAAAGAATAGATCTGTTGTTTTTAAGCGGTCGGCCACCGCATGCACCTGTCTTCCACGCGAGAAGAAAATGAATATGCAGTTCACGGACCCCAAAGTGGATCGCTGCGCACGTTCCTCTTGTTTTTTCTCTCTTCTTTCTTTTTAATGTAAGAAGTAGAGATATTTCCTTCCTCTTTTTCTCTGTTTTTTTTTTCTCGACTTTCAGAAGAGTCGATCTAAAGATCGAAAAAAAAAAAAAACGCTTACGCATCGGGTGGTTATGTAAATAATAGTCGACCGAGAGGGACAACTCTGCTATTTTTGTATCGTGTGTTCGTTGGGAAATCGTGCTTCCGGCGACTCGCATCTATTTCCGTACGGGTCATAGCCTGGCCTCTTTCCCTGCCCTTCCTTTCACTCGATCGTGCATCTCCCGTTCGCGGATCGAATTCGCGGTCGTGCTTGTCATACGATGGAGTTTTTCCATGCACACGTAACAGGAGAAGATCACTGACTTAGAAAATAACGTAAAGAAACGTAACGAAAAAGAATATGAGATTTATATAAAACTTTAAGGAGACAATATTTACGTAAAATGGATATTTAAAATAAAAACTTTAGATTTAGGTAAAAAATAATTGCACATAAATGAGTCGATTTATAAACTGTTATTAGTGATACTAATAATACTAATAATTTTTTAATTATATTTAAAAATTTTATGATAACTTGGAAGTTAGCTTTATAATATATGTAAGCACACAAAGACGAAAATTTCATCTAAGTAAAATGATTAATGATAGTAACAATAACGACCGATTTGAAAGCTTGATTTATCGAATTGAAATCGATAAAGAGTTATGAAAGCCGAAACGATTAGAAATTCCTATTTGAGAAATAGGCAATATATCTCATCTCGATGCTTAGTAATTATTTACGAAGAACATGTGGCCACCTACCTAAATTATCCGGATCTATTTCAAAATAACGAGCCACACGCAAACCCGACAATTATGTCGACATTTTCGGTCGACCACCTTCTGTTCCTTTCGACCTCCCTGCGAGCTGTCCGTCCCAAGGGTCGCCCGAGGGATGGAAAAGGAGGGTACACCGGGATAGCTTTGACCACTTTGTATGATAATTTCACCAATACTGTATCCCACGTATCTCGCGCGGTTCCCTCGTTACATTAGTCAAACCTGTTCCGCTTTCAAAGGGCAACCCTTTCTCCATGTTCCACCTCGCTATTTTATCCTTCGACCCTTGACCACCTTGAGTTTAAACATTGACAACGCAATGTTTCGTGATCAGCGTCGGAATGACAACAGATTGCAATTTTATCTTTCATGGAATACACTTTATATTTTCACATGTATAACACTTTAGCATTTCATTATAGCTGAGTTCATGAATAATTTCATGGAATTAATCGTTCAATCTCGGATTTATAATTGTGTCAACGGTCAATTTAAAAATAAAAATTCTCTAATGATCCCAGTTATACATATCCACCGAATAATCCGTTGCAATGGCTGCCGATGCGAGAATCGCCAATTATTTCGATAGTTGCATATTAATGAATAATAGATTGAAGCTATTAACTATTTCAATGATATTGCTCCGTACGTATTTCATGTATCTGTATATTATCTCTGTCTTCCATATAATTTTAGTGCATATAATCACACATATACCTCCGTCTATATACGTCCGTAACGCTGGCGACATGTGTCATGCATAACAACGCATGAGTTTAGGATCAGTAAGCGGGTGGACAAATGTCAAAACGCGCTGCAATTAATTACAACGCGGACGTTGTTTGATGAGTCAACGATTACTCGAATCAATAAAGACTCGGCTACTATAAATATTAAATAATAATACAGCGGCGGTGTATCATACTGCAAAATATTTGTAACGCAATTCACGCTAACTACGCTAATTACGTTTTCAATTAGGCATTGGAAATAACGTATAATTATCGCGAATAATGCTCTGGAACACATAAAGGTTTGTTTCCATTTAATGGAGAGTTATCTTATTATACTTTATATCATTTCTGATGTTTGCAACAATGCGTACTAATTAGAAGCATGTACCAACATGTTGAACGTGTAATTCATACTTAACATTTTGTGAAATTAAAATATTATTCTACTCATTTGTCTTCGTATATAAATTTAGACATTCATATTGATATTCTAAATTATTTTAAACTTAATTGACTAGTTTGTCAAACAATATAAAATAACTTCATCCTTTTAGGATATTTTTTTTAGCAAAATTAAAAATAAAAAACATTAAAATAATACATTAAAATAATTTAATGTAAAATCTACTCTTTCTTTCACAGAAAAATTGTTCTATCAAACGTATCTTATAGATAAGATGCAAATTGAACTGTGCATCAGGATATTAGTATGCGTTGTTATATCGAGAGAGTGTTTGAGATGCAACGATGCACGGGTGATCTTCCGAGCGCGAAAAGCACGCTGCAGTGGTTTATGTGTTTTCATTTCGCAGAAAGTGTTGCTTTCGCAACTGGCCGTTCCACATGACTTTTACTGTTAAACAAACATGTAAAGCCTCTCGGGATACCTACATGAGCGTGATGATAAATGGCGAGATTTCATCATCTTTCATATATAGGCAAACGATCAAATCATAAAACGATCGATATTGTAAAACTATCAGGGCCTCATCGAGCTTAGTACTTTACACATGTTTCTGTGCATATATATTTAGCTACGTTTTCAATAATATATTTTGGTGAAATAATACATTTTTTATATCTGTCGCTGTTGCAATGGAACGGCATCTCGAAATTTATGAATACATCTTGTCTGTTGGCAACGTCAATTCGCAATTCATAATGATTCCTTTAGTCGTATATCGTATGAGTGATCACATAGTTTACAATGACATAAAGCCAGAGATTCGAAGGTTTCTTTCCACTCGCCGAAAATAAGTTGCGCGAATTCTTTCGTCGCTAAATCGAAACGATCCGAGTTCCTACGATCGCGTGGTATCTGTGAGGGACCATCGACGAAAATATCCACTCGCTAATTCGCGCTTATGACGTTTCCTATTTTCGACCGACTGTTTTCCACGTGGCAGAATCCCGCTACGCACGTTATCGTATCGCGGATATAAATCGCGAGTAGATAAATCGCGTGCGGCTGCTTTACCTTAACGGTCACAATGAGATCGTACTGGTATTATGTCGCTCATTAGCTTAACACGCTGCGGTTTGGTACTTTTTCCGTTGCATTAGTATGTCGTCACGCAATTAGGAATAGGAGAGCATTAACGTTAGTCGACGTTATTATTTTATTATCTCAATTGAAATTTACCTCGACTTCCCTCTCGCGTTTAATTGATGGAGTTAAAAATATTTAAAAAAGACACTGTAATATGAAATAATATCATTTTCGCGTTTATTGCTAATAAAATTCCCATATCATTAAGTTATTATACAATTATAAAACAGCTACAAGAATTGAGACGCTGAATATGTTACTGGCTGTGTCGTGACTACAAAAATCCACGAATTTAATTTCACTTGTTACACACGTTTTACAACCGAGGTGGTCCCTTCCGGATTCCGCGTGATATTTTTTTTCACAGCTGTCCTCGCGATTTTCCGAGAGTGTCCATGGCTCGGAGATTAATAACGTAATTATTCTGGCATACTGGCGAACGTCGGCAGTCTCGCCAAATTAAACTGGCGGCGTCTATTTCAGACGACTGTTTCAATTTTTGTCTACCTGTCCATCGTCGTGGCATAGCTATTACCGTACTCGCCAGTTCTTCCTCGCGACACGACTAATTAAATTTGTTCATGCGTGTATGTTTCTTACGCGACAGCGAGTGCATCGTTTTATCTGCTTCCTTCTTTGTGCACATTGAGATATCGCATTATAATAATATCAACAGGAAACGACGCATCATATGAGACTGTTCGTGATGCGCTAGAGATTGAATCACACAAACGGTGCCTTGATTGAATTTTACGAACGCTAAAACGTCAGTAGGTCGCATGCGGGCCTGTGGGTTTATTTAAACCTTCCGGTTGATTTCCGAATAGTTAAAAAGTATCAAGATACCTCACAAGTCATGTGAGATATCTCAAAATAATCCAGAATCATCGATGGTTTTTCTTACTCGATATCTTTTTTTAGCCTTTTTTTTAACTAAAAATAGCTATTATTTATTTTGTATTTATTCTTCTCTCTTATCTGTTTTTCTTTTAAATACAAATTATTAATTATTCTTAATAATTATTATGTAAACTGACCGTTATGATTAATAACTATAGGTACATCGTTGAAGTATTGTATAAAATTTTTATGCTGTCTCTCTCTCTCTCTCTCTCTCTCTCTCTCTCTCTCTCTCTCTCTCT